AGCTTTGCCTGCATGGGAAACCTGGTTGTCATGGGCAGCAGCCATGAGCTGCTGAGTGAAATACACTCAAACCAGGGGCTTGACAGGTCTGTCACTGCCGTGGCATGGTGCGCATTTACAGTTTAGCGCTGTTGCTCTAGCGCTCCATGTGCCAAATGAAGTCGTTAGCAGATTTGAGATCTATCAACCATCTGTGCCTGGTGTCTTTTCATCCTCGAGTGGGAAAGAGCTATCGGCACAGAGCCATAGTGGGATGTAGTGGTGCTAGAAGGCCTCTGGGGTATGTCTTGGTCATTTGAGCTAGTGTGCCCCTCACACAGCATTTACTGCCCACCCCTTCCTCCTGGATAATGAGGTCTCTTGAGAAGTCTGTTAACATGAGAACTGGTTACAGCATTTTTTGTGAAATATTTGCCAATAACCAGGAATACCCAGCGAGATTTGGTGTGGATGAGAAACTTAATAATCTATGAAGGCTTTTTTTATATCTTAAATTTACATTACATTAGGTTCATAAATTAGGGAAAAAAGTGTTGGTTATGGCTTTCTTCCTGGTGGTGGGTGAGAATACACTATTTACAGACATGGCTGGAGTCATTGTATATCAAAGCTGAAAATTATATTTGACCCTATCAGTGCAATATGCCCTTTGGTAGTCCTTCTTGTGAGGGATTCTTACAGGTTATAAAAGCTGCCTCACTCTGTTGCAGTAACGTACAGGAAAGCGTGGAGACAAAATGATTGATTACTAGTCCTGGTGTTTGTAACTTGATCTGTGCAGAGTGAGCCAATAATAATTTGATTTCTTTCCCTTTCTCCCTTATTGACATTTTTCATTGTCTTAGTGTCCGAAATTCCAAATATGGAATGTCCTGCTATCAGGTCTGAGTCGGTTTTATTCCACCCATATGCAAATCCATAGTATAAAGCAGTATGAATGAGTTCTGAACTGAAAGAAAATTCAACTTGGTATTTTGCCAAACTGAAGCCTTCATACCCTGTCAAATGCAGACAACAAAATAAATCTTCATGGCTGTCCACTAGACCATGGGTCTGGCACAGACAGGGATTGCTCAGACAGTAGCTCCAGACATCTTGAGAACAGAGACCTCTTTACGGGGTAAATTTACAGAGTTTTCATATGTCACTCAGGAAATAAATTTTAACAGATTGCAGTAATTTTTGTTTGCTGACAAGGTATGCCCGAGAAGAGTGGTCGGTCAGTAAAGCTGGTTTACTCTCTGTGTGTTTACCAGTCTGGGAAAGATTATATCTACTACTTTGGTCACCTTACTGGGTAGGGGATACCTCTCTAAAACATGTTCACTCTCTCAAAAGAACAGATATTTTTATTTAATTCAATCAGTTTATGTAGTATTGTTTGTTGTTTGAAATAGCAGTTCCTTTGAAATAAACTTGTGGGATTTATTGCCATGGAGCCAACTCCAACACTGAGAACTGATTCTTTAAATTGTTAGTGAACTGTATGGTCAATCAGGCTATGACAGTAAGCCTTGAGAGCTCTACAATACTCTGAAATTTTGCATTGTGGACATTTGAAAAGTCTGTGACTCTCCCCTGCGTATTTTCCCTTGGTTCTCACGCTGGGAGATATGTTATTTCAGAAATTTTAGAAATGACAAAGAATTTGACTTTGCAACTTTGAAATATGTGGGCATTTTTTCTTATTTGTGGGTATTCCAAACTCAGTGTGTACTCTGTTCTGTCTCTGTATGTGGATATGCGGTTTTAGTACTGTGCAGCTGGACAGAGAGGAATTTTTAGAGGAATCAGAAGGGACAAGCACAAATTAAATACTTGAGATAAATGATTCTGCAGGAGTTAAAATGACAAGGGCCATGCCTTTGTAAGGAAAAACACATTTCTTGAAGTGCCAGATTGCTGAAAATTGCTTATTCTTTATTTTAAACTCTGGGATTACACAGAATCAGAACCTGATTGTAGTATAAGGAATAAGGTGGATCAGTTAAGGCAGAAAATGTCAATGCAAGGTGACCATGAAACCGGGAGGAAATACTGTGATGTATGAGAAAGATGTTGTTTGGTTTGCCTTGGTTTTTTTTTTCTTCCCTAGAAATGGAGTTAGTTAACTTCCAGTCTCAGTAGGTTTTGATCCATAAACAATTGCCTCAGGAACAAGAAGCTTACCTGTGCTTTCCTGCAGCACTGTTAGGTATTCCACATTTAGCTGTTATCTGAGCTACACATAAAAGTCTGTGAATCCTGGGAAGCTAGGAAAATGGCTTTTTTTTCAGGTATTCTGTGAAAGAAATGCCTTCCTCCTGTTTCTTGGGAGGTGTGGTCTACAAAATCAACTCTTGTGGTGGACTTTGGGATTGAAATCTAAGAACTGCCCTTGGTAGGACTGATCTTTAGCTTGGAGATTTACAACCTCTTAAAAGTTTACATAAATAGAAATGTAGAGGAGTTTCAGTAGATTTTTAGAGACTTTGTAACAAATCTAAAAGAAAACAGACAACAAACTTCATCCTCAGTTGACAGACTGGAGATTTCATAGCTGATGTCTGTTACCAGCTGCTAACTGTCCATAAAGGTTTGTCATTATACCAGAATTTCTCACACTGTACATGATGAGATCTTCCTCCCACCACCACCATCTCAATTCCTCTCTCTCCACCTGCTTAGGACAGAAAGAAACCACAACAAAGGTTACTCTCTGTAGTACACTTTATATGTTTTTTTCATACCGATGTCTAAAAGCGGGGAAAGATTGTCTCCTAGGAGGTTAATCAAACTTCAGAGCACCTGAAACTTCTTATGCCTCTGATAGGAGAGTGAGCAAATCCACGTAGCTCAAAATTCACAGGGCCCGCTAGACTCCTGCCTCTGTTTACCTACTTAAATGCCTTTTTAGATCTGGCCCTGTGTACTTTGTATTCCCAGTCTCGTATCTGAAACTGCAAATAATTAGAATTTAGATGGTATTTCACTACCTCACTGGGATATTGTGATACCACTGCATACTGTGAAAAAGTCTAAACCGGAGATGTTAAAAAGTGGCTCACGGCAAACTACTCTTGAAAGATGCTCTTGATGTCTGAATCTCAGAGCATCCATTCATCTCACATTTTTCTTCTTATATATCCTGGTATAAAAAGCTAATGCATCTTTATGAAAAGGAAGAAGTAGAGCTATTGTGACTTCTGTGTGTAAAACTTTTCACAGAACAGAATACATACCTTTAATGGAAAGTGATGGAACAGTCTCTGTAACTCTACAGTGCTCAAAATTCAATATTGTTAATATAAACAGGTTTATGGTAATAATAGGAGATTTACAAGGAAGAGGGATTAATTTAGTTCTAAGAGATGTTTGACCTCTGCTACTTTGTAAATCCGTTAGAGAGAGCTAAGGTCCCCATAAGCTCACTTTCTTTCTCTTCGACCTGGAAGGCATTATTTTTTCAATACATACCAGAAGCAAGTAAATATTTTTAGAACCAGGATAACTACCACTTTAAATGGACTAATCTTTGCTCAGAAGTTGTCTGATACTTTATATCCAATGCCAGCAGGAAAGAAATAATTAAGACGTATGCTTCTGGTAAAAGATAAGGAACATTTGAATGGGTTACATAAATAATAGACTAATCAAACTATTGTCTAACCATTTAAAAAAACACACGCCCTACTGCATGTACATTTATTTAAATTAACGCTGCTGTCAGAATTTATGAGGAATTTTGAAAGAGGATTTCATTTTCATCTTATGGTTAATGCTCTCATAAATAATAATTTGTCAATTTATAGGATAAGAGATACTATTAAACTTTTCAGTGTACCTCTTTAAAATAGAGGTGTGCATTTACTGTTCTGGGTAATTACTCTTTGGATAAAACTGCAACTTTCAAATCTCATTTTCACGTCTGCCAAGTTCTGCTGTAACTCATTTTCTGTTCTAACAAGAATTAATGACATTAGTAATCTAATGTTATGCAGAAGAGACCTGGGACTTTTGTTGTATATGCAGTATCATGCAATGTTTTTCTACATAAAATATTTTATTAGTATGTTATTGATAACCGACCAACAGATTTTCTAAAAAGTGAAAAAAAATACAAAACCAGCTGTTCAAAAAAAAAAATCAGATACTTAAAAAATACATTAGGAATTGGGTTCTGGTTCTTGTTTAAGCCCATGAAAATGAGACTTGATAATAATTTACAAAGTGCTGATCTATCTTGTAGATGAACACCAAGAAACTTCAGTCTGATAGTTTGGGATAGGGCTATATCTACTAGCAAGCAACATCCATTCTTCCCCACTCTTTTCTGAAACCACTTTAGCTTTATATGATTGTATGAGGGAAGAATACACTACCCAGCTGCATATTTGAGATTAAATGAGAGGTGGTATTTCTCTTGAATGGCAATTTGAACATGCTTTTTGTGGGATTTTTAACATACAAACCAAAATACCCATACCGTGAAGGACAACACTATTACACAGTCTTTGTATTTATTTATGCCCATATCAGGTTGCCGCAGTCAAGGCTGCTATATGCTTCAAAACTGTCCCATATAGATTTTTTGGGCTCCACTGGTACTCGTTAAAAGGTGCTGTGACAGCCTGACATCAGCAGAGTCCCTGCATGGAAACAGTCACTCTTTTCAACAGCAGTCACTGTCATCTGCTGTGTTGTCTCTGGGCTGAGCTTCTCAGGCTCTGTGTAAGGTGGCTTTTTTTTACCCTCTTGACAGGAAAGTAGGGCCTCTGCATGTGTTTAACCCCACATTTTTGCAGGATGCTAATATTTCTGCTTTTAATTGAATGTAGTTTTACAGGAGACTGTGTCCCAGATGTGATTGCTCTAAAATGAAAGAGCACCAGTGTTGGGCTTAAATGTTTCCCATCCAATTACCAATTGCCCCTTCATTTTATTTTGAAAGTTTTTTTCACTTGAGTGTGGAGTTTCCAAATGATTCTGGTAATCCTGGATTTTTTCCCTTGTTTTCACAGGTGACCTGTAACTGTTTCACCATCAGTAACGGCGAGATGCAGGATGTTGGCGTTGGCCTGTATCCCAGGTACTGTGGATGCTTTCATTCACAGGAAAAACTTATGTTATTTCTTTTTTCCTTTTTTTCCAAGGTAGCTGTAAGGACCATCAAAGCAACAGGTAACATGTCCAAATGAGAAACTGGGAAATGCAAATAAATTAAGGAAGAATAAAAAATACCATCAAGTTGAAAACATTCTTAATAGTCCTGACTACAGAGTTAAAACAGTTTAAATAGGATACATCTTTATATTTTATTTTCACGGAGGAGGTAGTCTTTTCCACGAATAAATGCTGGCATCAAAAATGTGTGACTGGGACTAGTAAAAGGAACCTGTTCTGTGTTGCTTTAGAATAGAGATATTTTGCAGCCAAGAGCCTTCTGAACTGGCAATTAAAAGAAAAAGGTTGAGCACATTTATTAGCAAATTACCATAACTAAGAAACCAGTAAGGTGAGAAGATAAGCCCCTTGAGAGGTGGATGTTAATATTTGAATTATTTCTATTATGTAAGAAGTATGTACCATGGAAGGTTGTGCCTTCACAGAATTAGTTACCTGTAATTGTTAATGTGGAAAATTAATATGTGTAGTTTAAAATTATGTTTTACCATCTCAATGTTTTGTTCATGCACTGTTGAACGCCGTTGCCAATACCTCAGCGGGCCTGTCACTGTTGTTTCTTTTTCTACTAATGTCTCACATGTAAGAAATGAAATGGTGACTCTCTCCCAGTGTAGATTACTGGGTTCATGTGAAGGTTAATCACAGATGTTTTATGAGGCCAGAAGGGATACCAAAAGAGTCAGGCTCCTGTTGATAGCTCCTTTAAAAGTCAAGAACTGAATAAACATGGTTTGTTGCAGGCCTCTCACCATCCGCAACATCCTTTATTTTGCCAACAGTTGGGATTTTGAGTTACTGAATCAGGCAGACAAGGAAAGCAAATACAGGCAGCCAGGAGCTGGATAAGCCAAAAATTCTTCCAGCCTGATGATGCCAGAATTGTCCTTGCAATGGGTCATTCCCACAGGAGAAGAACCATCAGCCCCATATCTACTATGGGACTGATGTTGGCCTGGCAAAGTCAGTTGTTTCTCAGCTAATGAAACATGGGACTCACAAGTATGTAGTGGCTGTTGTTGATGTTGTTCTTAACAGTCTCCTTCAAAAAATGAGAAAGGGGCATGTCTGTGCCAGGAGATTCACCAAAGTGTGTTTCTCTTGGGGGTGGCTGCAACTCAGCTGTCACATGCCACAAGAACAGAGGCTGAACCAAAATATAAGTAAAACAGAGGCAATGGCTGTATCTCTTCTTTCAACTCTGCACACCAAGTACTTTGATTTTGGGACATAGCATACTCCATTTTCTACCTGCTATGACATACAGGTTGATTCCTGACCCCTTTGTGCTCCGGTTCCACTGACGGTCAGGGTAACTGAGAAGGTTAGTGCCCTGAAACTGAGCAGAAGCAGCAGAAATATAACACGGTCCTAAGGTACTGACCTTTTGCTCTGACCTGTCCAGGCTGCCTTGTTTCCCGCTTGCCTGCTTTGCCCTCTCCCCCGAGGCAGGGCTCTCGGAGAGTCACTGGGAGGCCATCGCCATCCTCCCGTCCCAAGTACTGAGTACACAGAAGGCAGAAACACATGAAGTGATCCAGGCATAGCTCCTATTAGCAATGAATATAAATCTTCTAAGCATTAATTTTCCTCACCTAACCAAGAGGAGCTGATTTACCAGGAATTTTATTTGTTTTGTAACTCAATTGCTTGATATTAAAGATGTAATCGTGTTAGCTACTTTTAAATGATTAAAGGGGAATGACAACGGAGGCTCTGTAAAGTTCTTTCTCTCCCTTTCTCCTCCTCTGCCACCCCTCACAGCATGTCTTTACTGAACCACAGCTGTGACCCAAACTGTGTGATCGTTTTTGAAGGATACCAGCTTTTACTTCGCTCCGTCCGAGAGATCCAGATTGGTGAAGAGGTAATTAACTTGTCCTCCCTTCCATCACAGACACCTGCAACAATGACATCTCCCTAAATAAATTCCAGACTGCAGGGCCACCAGCTTAATATTTTGATGATATATTGATGCCACTTTCTAGCACATAGCTATCAGGGGAAAATGATAAATAGAATCATCTCTTCACACTGCCTGGGCCCCATAATCATTACTTCTCATAAATCACTAGCAGTCTTGATAAATTCTTGTTCCTCCTTTCCTGCTCTAGGCACTTCATTTTGTTTGTATTTGAATGTCTTTACCCTCATGGAAACACTTACGATATTTCTGGGTGGAACGCAGTGTTCACTAAGTTGTTGCAACAATAAGCATTTGTCAGTCTGCAACCATACTGTTGTAGTAAACCTTTCATTGACAGTGAAAGTAACAAGACAAGGGTTTTTTTCTTGCCCATTTCACTAGAAAAGACTTCAAAATATCCCTTTCAAGATATTTCTGATTTGATCTCAGGTATTCTCAGCTTTGTTTTTATGACAGCATTTGTATTACTTTGAAAATCATTTGTGGCTAGGTAAGCATTTCAAAGTAAATGTCTTCTGCAGCAATGCAATATTGAATTTGCTTAGTAAGGCCTGCAAAGACGTGTGTATGTATGTAACTTTACATGCAACAATGACCTGTGCAGTCCTAGCTGTTGATCATTTCAAAGTCATGACTTAATGTAAATACGCTTCATGGCTATGCTTCAAACTCTGGGAAGATCAAGGGCATATGTATTCTGATTTAGAAGTAATATCTTTTTTCCTCCCTATGAAGGGTTTTCTAAGAGGCCTTTCTAAGAATGTCTAAGATAGTAGGCCACAAAAATAAGTAAATGGCAAGGTATTTTTTTCTAGCCAAAATACTGTGCAGAACCAACAGGATTTCTTTTGCGTACTTACCTTTTAGCCAAGAGAAATCTTTTAGGATGCAACATACTTTTGTGGATCTACGAAGTGTAGACATGTTTTGGTCTGGCATTCTTGTTCAAGCCAAATTGCAGACACTTTTGTTCCATTGTATCCATATACCATATTTTTCCTCTTGGCTTCCCAGTTCACCAAGATGGGTTGTTTATTTAAAAATACAGTAGATTTTAATGTCTTCCCAGGATCCATTTGGGTTAATTATTAGAGTTCTAAATTCTGAAGCTGTCTTACTGTTACGTACATGGATATATTTTTCTAGGTAAGTTTCATAATGCAATTCTTTGTAACAAGCTGTTTTACAGAGTGGGAGAGGCCCTCAGGTGGCCCTGGCTGGTTCTGGAGAGAGCAGTGAAGCAGAATTCTCTCCCAGGCATGACCACCATGCAGACTGTGCTGCGGCTGTGAAGCTATGACCCAAATTTTAGACTTGGTTCTAGTGGTCCGTAAACCACACAAGTCTCTAGCTTAAAATCAGTAGTGAAACAGAGAAGGTGTAAGTTACAAATCATTTGTAAGGCAATCAGAAAATAAATATAACTTGAAAAGCAGGGCAGCTAAGACCAGTTTGTTTGCAGGGACTTTGGCAGTTGTGTGAACACAGGCATTAAAATGACCGCACCTTATGCGGGCATATTATATTTTCTAAAAACTTTGCTTCCAATGAAGCAGCAAAAAAGTCAGAATTTTCTAAAGAGCTCACGTTCTGGTGTCTTTGTTACAACTATTGCTTCTGGTTTTGGTACTGAAAGGAAAACTTGCCTTAAGGAATATGTAAGATTTTATATATATGTGTATACACTGCGTTAAAGCAGGTGCTCTGTTCACTTACCTGGAAATAAAAGTCTCCATCTAAAGTACATGCTTCTTTGTATAAGGATGTGTCTAAGGAATAAAATGGACATAAATGAGAAAGTAAAGATACAAAGTTAATATTAGTTTAGATAAGTTATGGGAAGAGGAAGGAGAAGAAAATTATTATGAGGATATGTACAAGTCAGCAGTTTAATATTACTTTCAACACCCAATTACTTTTCCTCTTACACAACAGCTACTGCTTTTCATTTTGTGTTCTGCGTGGTAGCTTTGGTACCACTTCTTTCCACACTGCCTTACTGCTTGCCTGCAGCAGGGTGAGCTCAGTTTTCTTAATAGCCATGCATTGAATTTACACACCTATTACATTAAACTATATTGCCTGTTATGAACTGAGTTTTCACTTACATTACTGAGATCACCATCTGAGCTAATGGGAGAGAAAATACATGTTAGGGAGAAATCTGATTGGGTTTTCTGAATAGAGTGCTCTTAGGTGGTAGAATGAACATTGTTTCAAGTCATGAGGCAACAAGAAAACTTCAATAATTACAAGCGGCAGAAAACTTGCCTTAGCCTGTTCAAACTTACACTAGATTTAGACAGAATGAAATCCCCTATGTCATAATTAACAGAAAGCAAATAAGCACTAAGATTTATTAGAAAGGAGAAGCTAAGTAGCAAGTCAAGCTCAGATTAGTAGGAGAAGACTATGGCTTTACTGCCCATACAGGAGCAAACTCGAGAGGGCTTCTGGACCCTTGACAGGAAAGTATCAACGGCTGCAACAGGACGCGTTCATGACACCAGTGAGCAGTAAAAACATTTTTGCACATTTGCAGTGCATTCTGTCAGAGGACATTACAACAATTTACTACTGTTAAGGAGTTGTTGACCACCTGTAATCACAGGGAAAACAGAGACATGGGGAGTTGAGGTGACTGGCCATTATGGTCAGCTCACAATTCTATAAAGAGAGAGGTACCAGTGGACCTGATTTTGGTTGTAAACAAGAGGAAGAGGTCTTATTACATTGGATGTAGCTGCTGCAGTGTGATGCAGATTTTTGAGGAATAACATTTGTGCCCCAACCACACTTCAGAGTGCTCATGCCGTGCACAGTAATTATATTTATCGAGTCAGTGGTAAAAAGCATACAAGATTATGAGAACCTCAAAAAGTTTTTATGTTCCGATAGAAGTTGTTTCAGTCTCATGTCTAGGCAGATTTTGTTGGCTTTGCATGTTTATTACAGACAGGAATGTGGCATTTAGTGGTTTTTAATTGAATTTTGATTTGGGCTTTGAAATTTTTTTAAATCCTAAGGCCAAAATGTATCACAGGCAGTAGAAAATTAGGACTCCTGAGACAGAAAATGTTTGCCCGAATCCTTATAGAATGAACGTGCTAAATTTGGTGGTGCTCTATATTTGGAAAACTAATCACTCCTAAAATCATACGCAAAAATTCTAGCCATCTGGGCCTTTTTTTGTGGCAAAGACAGTGTTGCCAGTCCTGAAGCACTAAGAAATCATGAGTCATGAATGTTACTGTTTTGTAGGCATTGAAAGAAGGGATTTATGTATAATTGCATGGTTTCCCAAGTTGAAGCTTTAAGAAAACAAAGTGTATTGCAGGAATCATAATAAAATACTGCGTTGGAAAGATGGAGAAGTGTCTGGTCTTGAAATTTTGCTGCAGAAACTGAAAGTTCAGATTTATTTTTAGGTATATTATTTGGGTTTTATTCTAATGTGGTGCTATGGAATTACATACTCTTTGAGGGCAGAAAATTACCATTTTAAACAAAAACACACTACATTGCCATTGGCTTTTGCCAGTGAATACTTTAGTTGATGTTCAAAATAACAGCTTTGATTTCTATCATTATGTAGCTTACTTGTCTGTTTAAATGACATTTATAATCCTCATTAAATGTAGAATTTTTAAAGTGAGAATTTGGTTCTCATAGGAAACTTCCTTCAAGCTTGGTATCTTTTTTTCCTTCCCCATCCTTTCTCTGACTCTGTTATAATTCATATAAGGCAGCATGGGTCTATGCTAATACTCCAAATTCTAGTGCTTGATCAGCTGGTAATGGTCACTAAATTTTAAGTGTTTTCTGTCCTGAAACTGGCATAAAGGGAATGAAACAGCTGGGGAGCAGAGGAGAGGGCAAAAGAAGTGAAAGGAAGACAAGGCTTGGGAGCAACTAGTAATCTCCATGCATAGCTTGGGGGTTGAGGTGGCTGAAAAGGATCTCCTAACACTCTGTAGACTCTGTTCTGTACCAGGTTTTTAAGCGTAATTGAATCTAACAGCAGGAAGAAAGAAATAATAGATTTTTGTGGGGATTTTGTTCTATATGTCCCTACTTTAGACTACATGACTTTCTGAGATTTGCTTCCAGCAGCTCAAACTAATTATAACACCTTTTTTGCTCTTCAAGAAAACGTTAGTTGTGGTGCTGACTATCACAGCTTTTGTAACTATAGGTGATGTTATTTTGACAGTATATAAAGATTTCCTTTTCTTGCACTTATTTCTTTGCAAAAATGAAATTTAAATATTGCAAAGAAAGGGAAGATATGGGGAAGGATTAAAATAAAGCAAAAATTATATACCTAGAGATCACCAGGGCTGCTTCAATGATAAGGTAGCTTATCAGCTAATTTACTTTCTCAAAAAGACAAGCAGCCTGCTCTGAAGAGATCTTCATCATTTCCCTACCCTTAAGTAACATTCTAAACAGCATCAAGATGTGTGCTATAATTTCTGTTGACTTTTTGTTAATTACTGTGTCTACTTAGTGTTTTGCAGGCAGACATGAGCTCGTTTTACCGATTCTCCAGTCAGAAGTTGTGTAGCTGTGGTTAGATCAGTGCATAGCTCAAATCAGTTAGTCCAGCCGAGAGACAGGATGTATTCACTGAGGTCCAGGTCTGCTGCAAAATGAGTGCATGGCTTCTCATCAACCTCAGAGTTCAGTTAGACCACATTTGTGTCTTTCTGCAGAAAGTCACAGAACAGACCATACTCCTACAGAGCAACTAATTTTTAAAATTAATACTAAGTACAGATCAGCATTTCAGATGACCAGCAATGAAATCTATCTTCCTAACAGATTTCAACCAAGACATGTAATATTTCTGTTATCGTAATCGTATGAGAAGTTTCATACCTCTGTATGTTTGACACATAACATTTTGTCACATTTTTTAAAATCAAATTTTTCCTTGAGTTAGAAGGCATTTTGATCCTATATGCTAAAACAGAAAGAGCACAGACTGTTCATCGCTTATATAACTCAGTCTTGGGAACAGATTTTTGTACACAACCTTCTCTAAGACCCATGATAGCAAAACCAAGAGAACTCACTTTTTTTCCCCTGCCATTTGCATTAAAATAATTGATTTTAAGTTTCTACAGAGTCCTCTGTCTAGAAATTTTGTTACAAAAAAAGTAAATTGAGTCCACTGCAGTGTGACAGTACTGGAAAATTGTGTCCATCTCATTTGGCAGATGAGGAACATGAGAAACTAACCACTATAACCATGGTTAAAGAATTGCTGTGTCAAAGCAAGAAGCAGGGCTCCGACAGTGCTACATTTCTAAGGAGAAAGTCTGGAGAGTCAAGAAGTCTCACGGCTGCTAAATAATTCCCTGCCTTCATAAATGTTATTTATTATATATTCTCCAGTTCAGGGGAAAAGATTTACCGCATTCTTTATAAGCGATGCAATAAAGAGGCAAGCTTTGGTCAGCTGAAATAATGTTTTAATTAATACCATATATCCCACATGAAAATACCATTAAGGCAGCCTTTGATAAATGGGCATATTTCCTAAATGTGTGCAAGTTAACTGAGACTTGCGTCTAATGAAGGGATCCAAAATGAAAACAAGTGTAGGAGAGAGACTTGAATACAGAATTTTTATGTTTAAACGATTAAATGATTAGTATAGACTTAGTCACCATTAGGTTGGTCATGTTTCTAAATATTCTAATTACATTTTCCCACTCAGTCTGCCAGCTACAAACATTTTTTCACTTACGGATTTCTGCTGGCGGGACTGGGAATTTGGACTTGGACCTCTGACAGGAAGAGAAACGCTAAGATGTTAAAATGGTAACAGGAGGTATCAGTGTGACGAAGCCTCTTGTCCTCCTCCTTCTGCCCAGTCATATGCTCTAATCCAGAGCAGGTTGTTACGTGACTGTTCACATCCACAACTGTTTGGTAACCTGTGAAAAAGAAATTACTGGTTTCAAACTTGTTCTTACTTCCAAGGTCTCTGCAGCATGAATGCAAAAGAAGAAAAAAAAAAAAGGCAAAAATGAAAAGAAAGAGATGAAGCCTGGTGAAACCTGTAGGCTGAAGATACATAAAGCATGTTTAATTGCCCAGGGAGGTTGTGGAGGCTCCTTCTCTGGAGATATTCAAGACCCGCCTGCAAACGGGCCTCTG